CAAAGGATGAAAAGAAAAAGCCACAGAGTCAAAAGGTACTGTGGAGCCCAACCTGGAAATGTGTAAAGAAAACTACTCTATACACTCACTATAGTCATGCTACTGTAAACAAAAGACAAAGATAATACTGAAAGCAGCCAGAGAATAAGACATATTACCTTAGAAGAACAAAAATAAGATTGACAGTTGTTTCTCAGTAGAAAAAAATGAAAGCCAGAAGACAGTGGAATTACATCATCAAAGTGTTAAAGGAAATAACTGCTAATCTAGAATTATATTGCCAGTGAAAATATCTTCAGAAAAAAATGAAGAAAGACATTTTTAGACCAATTAAATCTGAAAGAATTTATTATCACTAGTATGCTAGTACTGTAGAGAGTATTAACGGGTGTTATTCAAGCAGAAGGGAAAAGATTCCAAATGTAAGGTTAGAGTTGTGGAAATGAAGAGCCAACAGAAAGACAAATAAGTAGGTAAATATAAATATTGACTGTATGAACTTTAATGTGTGTTGTAATCTCTAGGCAACTACAGAAAATAGAATGTGTAAGTAGAAAGGTAATAGGAGAATATGGAATAATAAAAATACAAAGAAGGCAAGAAAGAAAATGAAAATAGACCAAGTGATAAAAAGGTAACAAATATTAAGTAATTACAGAAAATATAAATGGACTAAATATTCCAATTAAAAGAAAAATTGTTAGATTCAAAAGGAAAAAAAGACCTTCCATGTTCTGTTAACAAGCTGCATACCTTAATGATAAGGATTCAGGAAGGATTAAGTTGAAAGGGCGGACAAAAATATTACAGGCAAACCTCAGTCAAAGCTGGTCTAACTATATTAATAGTTGACAAAGTAGACAAAATGAAGCAAGAAGCATTATTTGAGACTTAATTAAGGCCATGTGATTTATTACAAAGTTGCTATTGTATTATAGAAAAGATGAAGTAAATAATGTTAATTGATATCCATATAAGAAATATATAAATCTTAACCTCTACCTCACATTGTACACACATTTGAATTCAGAAATAGATCGATAGGTGTTTGCCTTGTGACCAAAGTTGTACCTACAGTGAGAAAGAACATTCTTTTCTACAAATGGTACTAAATGAAAGTTTTACCCTACCTTATAAAATGCATAAAAGTCAATTCCATGGGTTGTGGCTCTAAATTTTCTGAAAGATAACTCAAAAATGTAGTTCAGAGTATTGAATAGGCACTTTATCAAAGTATGAAAAATTAATTTTATTGCTCAGCAAGGAAATATAATTTTAAACCAAAGTAAGGTTCTCACCAAAATGAAAAGAAAAAAAAAGTAATAATACTAAATGATGAGGATACAGATTAGTAGAACTCCCTTATACTATTGGTGAGAATGTATGTTGTTGTATCTAATATGGAGAACTAAAGTTGAATATATCCATGTCCTATTATCCAGCACTTTTGTTCCTAATTATGTACCCAGCAGAAATGTATGATCCATGTGTACACGAAAAGACTCAAATAAGCGAGTTTTTCATAGCATTATTGATATTGGCCCCCAATTGGAAACAGCATAAATGTCCACTAGCAACTGAATGCATAAATAAATTGAAGTATATTCATACCAGGAGACTACATAGCAACAAGTGATTGAACTAGAGTTTCACACAGCAACATGAATCATTGATTTCATTGATCTAAAGTTAAATTATGCAAAAGTGACCTATGATGTTAAAAGACACTTTTGGATAGGAGCAGTGGGGTAGTAATTAATTGGGAAGTGGCATGAGGGAAACTGTAATGTGGCTAATTCTTGGCCTGAGTGGTAGTTACTCAGGTGTGTTCATGTGGTGATAACTTCTTCTTTTCCTTTTCCTTTTTTTTTTTTTTTTTTTGATCACTTCTTGAGCTTTGTATTCATGCTTCTGAAAATATGTTATACGTCAGTTCAAGTCACTCCAGTGAGATAAATACGGGTAGATTTTTTTTCCCCTAAAATTTTGGGAAAATAGATTCAATTAAGAATATATACTTGCTACTTTTTGTTTTAGTGCTGTGTTTTTCTCTTAATGCATCTCCAAGTGACCACTGATAGAGCATGGAATATTTGATTTTTTAGTTAGAATTTATGCACTTGTAATGATTCACACTTTGGTGCCATTCATGCAGCAGGGAACTAACTCTCATCTGAATTAATAATAGATTAACTATGTACATGTTTAATGTATTGCTGTATTCTATGATAAATATGATAAAGATATATTTTAGTTATTTTGATATATTTTTAGCTGCCATTTATTTTTAGCTGTTTTTAGTAAAATTTTCTTTATACACATGATAACTCTTTTTTCTAAAATTATAATATCTGTATCTTACATATCTCTTTGGGCATTTGAATAGCTAGCAAGAAGACTTTTTCCTCCGAAATCTAAATTTCCTCCTTTTTTTGGTGAATTTCTAGCTAAAGTTCTATGCACAATTGGATATCCCCTGCCTCATATCATATACAAAATTTGACTGAAAATTGATTATTCACTTAAATAAGAAGTATAAAACTAAAAGTCTTAGAAGAAGACATAGGGGTAAATCTTCATGACCTTGGATTGGGTAGTGGATTCTTAGATATGACACCAAAAGCACAGACAACAAAAGAAAAGATATTTAAATTGGAATTCATTAAATTTAAAAACTTCTGTGCATCAGAGCACATTATCAAGAAAGGGAAAAGACAAACTCCAGAATGGGAGAAAATATTTGTAAATCCTTTATTCAGTATCTGGAATATATAAAGGGTCCAATATCTAGAATATATAAAGAACTGTTAAAACTCACCAGCAAAAGACAGCCCAATCAAAAAATGGGCAAAGGACTGAAATAGACATTTTTCTAAAGGAAATACACAAATGACTAACAAGCACCATGACAAGCTGTTCAACATCTTTAGTCATTAGGGAAAAGCAACCACTATGAGCTCTACCACTTCATATTCATTAAATGGCTAAAATAATAAAAATAGAAAATAACAAGTGTTGACAAGATTGTGGAGAATTCAGACTCCTCATATATTATGCAAATATAAAATGTTTCAGCTGCTGTAAAAAAATATATATATGGTAGTTCTTCAGAAAATTACACATAGAATTACTGTATGATTCAGTCATTCCTCCTAGATACATATCCAAAAGAATTGAAAACATATTCAAACAATTAGTTGTACACATTTGTTTATGCGGCATACTTCACAATAGCCGAAAGGTAGAAACAACCCAGATGTCCTTCAACAGATGAATGGATTGTGCTGTGTTCATTGATGTTAGTTAGAAAAAGGAATAAAAAAGTGATACATCCAATGATGATGAACCTCAAAATCATTATGCTGCAGGAAATAAGCCAGACAGAAAAAGTCACACACTGTATGATTCCATGTGTATGAAATATCCAGAATAGGTAAATCTGTAGAGATGGAAGGCAGATTGGTGAATGAGAAGTAACTGATTAAGGGGAACAGTCTTTTGGTGGGATTAAAGTATTTTAGAACTATGAAGAGATTGTAAAATAATGTGAATATACTAAGTGGCACAGACCTGTTTACTTTAAAATGGTTAATTTTATGTAAGTTTTACCTCAAAAGAAATAAAATCTAGTATTTAAATTAATTGCCATCATGTATTACTTATGTAATAAATCAGCATACTATAGTTGACTTAATCATGGATATACCAGTTATGATGAATATTATTATTACATTTGATTTCCATGAATATTAAATGTGTTCTTTTGTTTTAGAATAAACTACAAAATTGAATTAATTTTAAGCTGTTAAAAGAAGTATATTCAGTTAATCAGCGAATTTCTATTTAAGTTATCCTTTAACACTTTCCTGATATTTTATGTGAAACATCTTTTCTAATATTTTGTAGAAATTTAAGTTTGAATGACCAGGGTTTTACTAGACTAAGCTATATTTTCAAATGATCCAAGGAAGCTATGCATAAATGATAAAATTGAAACTTGTATTTTCATTGTTAGATGAAATCTTATTTTGAATGAGTGGTTTATCCATGGCCTGCAGTGTTTGTTCAAGATTTATAATGACTAAGTTTCTTATTGATGTGAAATCTTGTGAAGTTATTTGTGGTCCTGTAATATAAACATTGTTTTCAAAGACCACGTAAATTTTGAAAATTACTCAGTATTACTTAGGAGTTTATTATTTTTGCATTTATGCCTTGCAACACATTTTTGCTGACTGCTATACATAAATATCTAATATGTATGCACATGTGTCAGTTTTAATACTTGTTCTTAGTACTTGAAAGATCAGGAACCAAATATGTCATCCTATATAGTACCATGCCTTTCTGGTGATAAAATTTTTTTTATTAGTGTGGTCTGTAATTATTTTCAGTGTTTTTTTTTTCTAGCATATTTTCTTACCAATTCTATAGAATTATTAAATGAAATGTTATTAATGAAATTCCTAATAAAATGATGAGAATTATAAATATAAGCCTGTAATTTCCTCATCTTTGACTAATCAATCTAGTCTCAGTTTCTGACATCTGGCTTTTTTCTCTGTCATCGTCATTGTTTTTAAATAACTCTGTTAAATGACATTAGAATTCCTATTTATTTTCAGTTCCTTCTACTTCATTTTCAGATTGTGGTCTGTATTTAAGTTTAGATAATATTGTTCTCTGCTTAGAGTAAAATCATAAGTGGTTGTATTTGAGTAGACTACCACCCTTAAAACAAAGGATGCTGAGAAGACAATAAGAAGCAAGCATTATTTGTTTAATAGATTCTTAGTAGTGGTCTCCTTCCTCACCAAAGTAAACTTTTTTTTTTAAAGGCATTTAGACTTATTATAACTTCAAAATAGATAAAACAGTGCAAACATACACAAGTAATGTTTCTTATGTTTCACACTTTTCCAGCCTGACATTAGCTTTAAGTAATAGAGAAACCTAAATAGTTTTGATTGTTAATATATTGAATATTTTTAAATAATCAGATGAAAAATCAGTGCTGGAACAGAAACCATTTAAACCAGCTGCTCCACAAGTCCCACCCAAGAAGCCTACTCCACCCACCAAAGCCAATAATTTATTAAGATCTGGAACAGTGTACCCAAAGCGACCAGAAAAACCGGTTCCTCCACCACCTCCTGCAGCCAGGTACGTTTTACCTAATTTACCTGCCTTAGACATAAATGGCTCTACTGCCATTTATGGCTCTTCTAAATCTCAAAGTAATTTTAAAAGTATTTGTTTTCCATGTTTTTTCTGTAGTCTTCAGTAATTCTGTTATATGTTAATCTTATATTCATTCACATTAGGCGAATATACTCATATTAAGCCACTTTTATAGATCTGATTTTATTATGATTAGGGTAGAGGTTAATGCTTATGAAAATAATTTTATAGAACAAAGAAAAATCAGTATTATGCTATAACATCTTTAGTGTCATTAAATCACATTGTTCAGAAATGGCCATGTTTCACATATAAGTGATTTTTGCTTCTGTTTGATTTTCTCATTTCAGGATTAATGGGGAAGTGTCAACCATTTTATCAAAATTTGAAACTGAGCCAGTATCAAAACCAAAGCTAAATTCTGAACAGTTACCACTTAGACCAAAATCAGTAGACCTAGATTCATTTACAGTTAGGAGCTCTAAAGAAACAGGTAAGTTAATATGTAGAAAGGTGGTACATTAAAAAAAGTTGCCAATTATAGTTTTTGGAATCTAAAATAAGAAATGTGTCTATGCAATTTGTGTGTGGATAGATACAGTGGAAATTAATTAAAACTTGTTTAAAATCTGTGAAGCCAAAATAGAAAAATAAAATTGAAAGGAGATAAATGGGTAGAATATTTATGTTTCACATAAGCTTTCTTACTGGTCAGAGGACTGAGATGGATATTAAGAGAGCATCCATTTATCATTCTGTCTCTTTATAATGGAATGACCATACCACCTATGTCAGGCAGATATGAATACAAAAATAAAGAGATAATATAGACTTTAAATGCCAGCACTAAATTATTTTTAAGAAGACTATTTTTACGTCTCCACTTAGTTTCAATATACTTTTGTTTCCATTTCAGGAAAATAGGATTTTTGTGACTCACTCTCTCAATATATATTAGCAGGCTTTACCTAAGTGTTGTTCCTTCAGTTTTAGGACTGATTTATCAGCCTATTAATCATTTTTATTTGTCTCTTGGTCTTTTATATCTCCTAGTTTTAAAACGGAAAACTTGAAACAGGTCTTGATAAAGGTCTCACTATTAAAAGTAGTGCACAGTCCCTACTTCGCGGTAATGGTTATTTTATAGTTCTTTAAATTTGTTTTTAAGAGGTTTTTTTTTAAAAATAACATTTTCAAAGCACTTTCTCATATATGTTCTTATTTTATCTTTACAGTAACTCTAAGAGGCAGATGCTATTTTTCCCTATTTTGCATCTAAATAAAGTAAGCTACAGACACATCAGATGTCCAAGATCACATAAATCAAAAGAGAAGTCTTTAAATCCCCTGTATATAAAGTGCTTTATGATATTCTGTAAAAATTTTTAATGTCTTAAATATATTTCTTAGCTTCAGCATTAGCATTTTATATTCACATTTAAACTTCAAGGTCGGTAACACTTAGATTTTTTGTCACTATATTGGAAAATTTACTACTTAATACCTTTCAAAAATTTTAGGTGATTTTATTTTTCTTCCCTCTTTTAAACTTGCTGATACAAAAGCTCTGATTTAAACATGGCCTCCCCTCAGTTTTTTAATTCGAATGTTTTATAGAGCCTTTCATCATGTATTTGGATCCTGACCACTCTGGATGAAGCTATATTTCTTAATAATTTCTGGAAATTGAGATGTTGATTATATTTTAGAGGCATTCATTTAAATACAGTCAGTATGTTTTATCTGATGAAAATTGTTCTTATTTAGTGTTAAATACAAAACAAAAAGTCCTCTTTATGTTTTTAAAAAGTACTCTATTCTTTTCCATTGAGGTTAGTAGTAAAATAAAATTCTGTAAGTTCTTATTTTCTGTTTGACTCAAAATACTGTAGATGAAAGATCAGTGCACAGTTTTAACTCTGGAAATCAAAATTCATTGCTATTTTTAATTTCCACAGTTTTCTGCACTCATTATCAGAAGTGTTAAATTTTGATGAGTCTCTTTGGGAGCTGAAGAAGTAATATTTAGAACCTATATTTTTTGTGTATTTTTGTTAACTTTGTATCATTCTTGAATATTTGCCATATTTAATTGTTTCAAGGTTATGGAAATTACAAAAAAATAAAAATAAATTTTCACCTTTTCTAAAACATTTTCTGTATATGATCACCAGTAAGTTTTGTTTTCTTTGTTGTATTTCAAGTAGAAATTACATGTAACAATGTCAAACTATTGGTTGAAAGTTCTAATTTTTACTTTGTTTTTGGTTCCAATTCTGATATTATATTCACGCCTATTATTTCCTCTTCATTAAAAAACAAAGAGGCTTTATAGTACAGGGTTTGAGATTTTCTAATTTCTGGTTTGTTTGCTTTTTTCATCAAATGTTACCTAAGGGAGTAATTTAGAGATGTTGAGACTTGTATGTATGGTCAGAAACTAACAGCTAACTTCCAAGCTGCTATCTTTTATTCCTGCTATCAGGCTGCTTTTGGTGTAGTACATTTATACGCTGCAAAGTTCAGAAAATATAAAATTGGGAAATTGAGTTCATATATTAAGTAGCAAATATTTACTGTGCAAGTATTCTATCCACAGTACTATTTTAGGCAAGAAGTAGTTTACTAACATAAAAGGCATAGCTGCTGACAGCAATAGCTTATGTGTCAAACCTTAACTCAGAGACTATTCTTTCTTTTCTTTTTTTTTATTAGGATATCATGTTCTTACTACTTGTAGCATGGAGGTGCTTTACCTCTTTGAGATGTTGACACCTTACAGAAATTGTTCTGCATCAGATACAGCCTCAAATTTGACATTAAGTTGAGGCATATTTTAATTTATGCTTTTGGCTCAGTTTGAGATTTAAATTTTTAAACAGCATGTGAAACTAGCCTTTTAACGTAAGTTTTAAAAAGTTTAAAATATAAATATCTCCTTAGTTTCATTATTACGTCACATAATTTGAGGTGAAACGATGTAGTAGAAAGTATACTGACCTTGCTGTTAAAAATGTGGGTTGTAAATTATTAACTGATCATTGGCATGTTTCTTTTCTTAATCTATTGTCTTAACAATGAGTGCCTAGTATATCTATGATACCTATTAGAATACCCGACATGAAATTATTATAAAATGTTATTTCTCCTTTGCTCCTCTTCCTCCATTGTTAATCCATCTCATCCTGTTTCTGCTCCTAACTATCAAGGATGTAAATTCCTGATTCTACTCTCAAACATCATTTTCCTGGATGTTAAGCTATATAAATACAAACTCTGACTTCTGAACAAATATGGAAAACATTCTGAGATCAGTTTGGTTTTCTTCTTTTTAAAAGTTTCTCCATATATTTCCTCATGTACGATATAAGCACGACAAGTTGCAGAGCTATTAGAATCATGTTTTAATTTCTTTTTCAAACACTTCATCAAAAATTGGTTAGAATAAGCCTCCTGGTACTACTGGTTAATAGAAAGTTTACATGGTCTGAATTTTTCTAAAATAGTTTTGCAGGAAGAAAAATTGATTTACAATTAGTTTTAAAATACAAGATAGAAAATTTAGTGGCAACATACTATTATATTGAGAAAGTACAGCTGATGCAGTGTTTTTGATTGTTTTGATTGTTTTTCTGTGATAAATTCTTCTTGGGTTAAAGGAAATTTTAGAGATACATATATTATTTGATCCAAAAGCTCTTATTGTTATTAGAGAAACATTTTTTTTTAGTTCTATTTGATAGTTGGTTGATTTTTATTTGAATTACTTTCCCAGTATTTAATTCATTTATTTCTTTCAGAAAGAATTTATGGTGGGATTTTTCTAATAAGATGTCTACCTCTTGAGCGATAGACACTATAAAAAATGTGCCTGTATGTAAACTAGGATACAAAAACAAAACACCACACCCCAAAATGTAGAATTTACTGGAGAATAAGAACAGAGAATAAATTTTTTGTTTTCTAATGATTTCCTTGATAATGTCATTATAGCGAGTATCATGTAAGACACTGAATTTTCACTTATGTATATTCTATTTTAAGTGTTGTACTGAGTTGTATTTTTATAGTGAGATATTTAAAAAGAATATTTGGTATATTTTTCTTTTATTAAACCATAGAATTAAAATTGCCTCTTTCCTTGTAATTACTGTCATGTGCTAAAGACTAAAACTTGACAATAAAGTGGTTTAATTTTAGTTTTAACTATATTAATGAGTTGTTAATATATTGATTTGTTACTCTGACCTCTAATTTTAGTACTAATACATCCTTTTGGATGCTGTCTTGGTGTTCAGTGAGTAATAAAAAAGGCTTCTTTCTAGTTTAATGTATATTGAAATAAATACTCATCATAATTTTTCCTTTCGAAAGCAAAAAAAATCTAAATTCTCATATACAGCTTATATAAGTTTAGATAATCTACAATAGGTATATGCTAAACATTGAAATGGTTCTATTCATTCTACAACTGTTTCTTTTTCCTGCTTTGTAAAATAATTTTTTTGGTTTAGTCTTTTTTCTACACATTCCTATCCTTGACTTTTCTTTCCAGATTTTGTTTCCTAGCCTGTTTGCCATGTTTCCCTTCTTACGTGTCAGGAAATTATTCTACCTTTCTCCATTTTGGTAAGATGACAATTTATAAAAGAAATGAAAATAATATATTCAGTATTAAATAGGTGGTGCACATTGATTTTTTTCTTTGTAATTTTACTAAAAGTGTACATGTTTGTCTGTCTGTTCTAACCCTTTGGTTTTCCATTTTAAAATAATATGAAATTCATGTTGGCAAAGTTTTTCTGATTAAAGATATTCTTTTGATAAATGTTTTTCTGTGTAATTGAGAAACATGAGAGTCAGTTTATTATCTCCCAAAATTTGATATTTCATTTTGATTTTTAAAAATACCATGTCTTCTTAGGCATTATTTAGAAGTGTAAATAAATGACTGGCAGAGTGACAATATGATGGCAAGAATTAAATGATTGTCATACCTTTTTTGCCATGTGTACAGTATAAATCCATTGTTACCACTCTTAGGTAAATTTAAATTTAAAAGTGTTTAAATATGTCATAAGTCAAAAATGTGCACTGTTACTAATCTAATGGCTTAAATGGAGGACCTGAGAGAGTTTTAGAATAGTAAAATTATTTGTCTTCGTGTCGTAGCCCAAAACTGGACATATGAAAGGCCTTTTTACATGAGCATGATGTATAATTTTTGTAAATGTACCTTTTATTTACCCTTTTAGTTTCGTTTATCTTCATCCCTTCTTTGTTTTTCTGTTTATTTCTTTTTCTTTCAGCAAGTTGCTTAAATATGCATTTGAAAATAATCTCCACAGGCCAAAATGATTATAGTGTACTTTTCAAGGATTTTGCGGTTTTTGTAGATTGTCAATACACATTTATCAGCGTGAAAAAGCAATTTTTAACCCTTCAAACTGCAGTATATTTTAACATCTTTTAAAATAACGATTGTTTTATGAAATTTACAAATAAAATGAGATATTTAAATAATTTCCTTGATAATATCATTATAGTGAGTATCACAAAAGACATTGAATTTTTATTTAAATATGGATGAGATTTTTAAGTGTTGTACTGAATTGCATTTTTATAGTGAGATATTTAAAAAGAATATTTGGTATATTTTTCTTTTATTAAACCATATAATAATGCATTTTCCATTAAAGTTGCTGTGTTTCTTATTATGGTTGGTTATATTTTATAATTACTTATAGATAATTATTGAATAACTCAGGACAGTAATTAAACCGTGCACATTAGATCGCCTGTTGTGATGTATTAACCTATTTACTAGATCTAAGGCAGAACACACAATATAATCCCAGAATGCGAAGATGGAGAAGAATTAAGAGGTCAACAAATATTTAAAGTTGTTATAAAATACATATTGCCAAACAGTGATACCTCTTCTTCTGCCTTACCCTTTGTGTCCTCCATCCCTTAAAAAAAATTATCTAAATGAATTACTTTGGATGTGAAAATTGATGAGTAAGCTTTGAGGTCAATAATGATAAGAATCTTTAGATTCTTTTAAGAGCACATCAGTGAAGTGTGGGACATCTAAATATTTGACAGAAAGCATTATACACATCTAGACAACAGTAAAATGAGGAATGATTCTATACCTAGAAAACTAGGCCAAAGATACCTGCTGCCATATCAAATATGTTGACTGATTAATACCCTTGGTTTGGAATCTGGGCTGAAGGAAGATAATATTGATAGTGGAAGTGTCTGGAGTTACCTTTAGGGTTCTTGTATCATTTATAGATATCTGGTCTTCAGAATTAAAGACCAGCTCCTTTAGTAAGGTTTTTCTGTATCATCCAGAAAAAGGAAAGGTATTACATACTGTTATTTCAGAGATACGAATTACCTAGATTTGTCTTTAAACCTATTATTGAATTAAAGGTCAACTAGTTTTTGATGGAAGAACAAGTGGATGAGTCATGTAGCATTTTCCCTTAGTAACTGATTTGCCTTAGATTTATAACTACAAGCAGTTTGAGTCTCAGCTACAATAAACTGTACGTACATATATAAAGACACATTATACTTTCACTGTACATTGAGAAATGCAATGGCAAAGCAATAGGGTCACAGATAATAGTTGAGTCCTTAAAATTTGAATGTTAGGACACTACCTGAAGAGTATAACAAATCGTATGTGTTAATTTTATGATATATTGTAATTAATTATAAGTTGAAGAAATAAATCATTTTTTCAAAGCAAGAACTTAAAGTGACAGCTTTTTTATGCTACTGCAGCTAATGGTACAGATTTATATTTTTCAAGAACTTTTTGCTGAGGTCTTTTAGAAATATGAACTCTATATTAATAAAGTTTTATGCTATAAAATGTATCAAATAAAGAAGATATTTGTTTTTAAGGGTGAGTGTTGTTTTCCAAATGCATATGAAAAGCACAGGTCGTCAACTTGTGAGTCCTAGTGGTGCTCTTTTTAATATAGTTTGTTAAAAATCCAGAAACATTCTTTTTTACCTTTTAATCATGTAAAGTTATTTCTTAGTAGATGTTTATTTTTATTCTCTAGATCTTGTAAATTTTGATGACATAGCTTCCTCAGAAAACTTACTGCATCTCACTGCAAATAGACCGAAGATGCCTGGAAGAAGGTTGCCTGGCCGCTTCAATGGTGGACATTCTGTGAGTTACACTTGTTGTGAAATGGAATTTAGCAAATCCAGAGTCCTTCTGAAGATAAGAATAAAGAGGATTTATAGCTCCACTAAAGTTTAAAAATCAAGAAGATAGCTGTTACACTCAAGTGGCAAATATTTTCTTTAAGGAGATGTGGGGAAAGAATCATGTTCATTTCAACAGAGCTTGGAATGGAAGGTTACAGAATCAGAAAGAGTTGTCTTTAGACCATAACCACAGAGCACAGGGTCAGAAGGGGACCAGGGTACTTGTATAATCTATCTAACAATAATAATTAGAATTGAGTGGTACATACTCATTTTAGGAAGAATGAGAACATTTTTTCCCCTTGAAATAGTGTTTTTTGAAGTACTCATCCTGGTATTTAAATATATAACTTTTTATGCTTTCTGTACATTTGCGTGGGATACTGGTAGTACATTAGTGTTAATATATTAGCTCTTAAGCACTACGGTGCTTTTAAATTACATAAGTAGAGAAAATTTTTATTACTAAGAGGCAAGCTGCTTTTCCCTCAAGATAAGCAAGTATATTATCCAGCTTGGAATCATGTAACATCCTGTTAATAATAATGGAGTATCTGGAACAGTAGCTGCCAATAACAATGATAAAAGTTATTTATTATCCAGATACTAACATTTCCTCCTTTGGTGTTTTCTGTTTCTTGATTTAAAAAAATCATTTAGCCAACTCAAAGCCCAGAAAAAATCTTAAAGTCACCAAAAGAAGAAGATAGTGCCAATGTAAAGCCATCTGACTTTAAAAAGGATTCATGCTACTCTCCAAAGGTGAGGTGTGCATTGTGGTCTAAGATTTGTATAATTCGTAAGATTCTTTGTGAACATCAAAACAATGGAATTTAAAGTGTCATTTAAAAATTATTTTTTCTGCTAAGAAATAATTCCTGCTCAAAAATTGAGTTATTAAAGGTAAGTCACACTATTTACTGTATATCTTTTTTTAGAAGAGCTTACATTATTTTAATTGAGTAATGTAAATGTTATATATTGCATAATTTTAAAGGCGTAGGTCTGTTTCATTTTCCTATTAAACAGGCACTCATTAAGTCAGAAGCCATCACTTCTTTACTTCTTACCTAGCTTGATGCTTGACACCATAATAAGCACCGAATATATACTGGAATGAATGGCAGTATATATTCGGTGCTTATTATGGTGTCAAATTTTAACACCATCTATTTTATGGTGTTAAAACTCTTTTCTAATTTTTGCCATTTTAATTTAAGATGGTATTACCACAGCTGGCACTCGTCTTATATTTAAGAATGTCATATTCCTCCTCAAATTCATTTCAGGGTATTTGGCTATTCCATTTTGGCTGCTATTCTAGTTTATTAGATACACTTAATCTTATTCTCTATTGAAATTTTACTTACTGTTTTTTTATGATACAGAAAAAAGGGTATCAGACCATGTATTCATTTTAATGCCTCTTCCATGCATTTACTAAATTCTTCATAATTACTTTAAGGGAAGCTCTTTGGATATTCTAAACAATAACTATTTAGTGAGGAGGATCAAAACAATACGTTAATGCTGTTACAGTATTCACCCCCTTCTTGGCAGGGATTCATTCCAACACCTCTAGTGGATGTCTGAAACTGGATAGTACCAAACTCTATATATGCTTAGTTTTTTTCTTATATGTACATACCTTTTTACTTAGGGGAAGCACTTCATGGCTTCTCTTTGGCATATATGAATTGTCAGCATCACTGCTCTTTTACTTTGGGGCCATTATTAAGTAAAATAAAGGTTACTTGAACACAAGTACTATGATGCCATGACAGTTGATCTGATAACCAAGATGGCTGCTAAATAACAGTCTGGTAGCATACACAGTATGGATACACTGGATAATAGGATGATTTACATTCTGGGCAGGACAGAGCGGGATGACTCGAGATTTCATCAGACTACTCAGAATAGGAAGGCACTGTGTATTTTTCTAAATATTCCACTAGGCAAACCATAAAGTAAATATAATGGATTTTTTTTTTCTTTTTTTTTTTTAAATGAAACCTTTGACATTTCTCACAAAACCTTCTGGTAATTGCAACTTTATTCTTTGGTTATTGGTTGGTTTTTCTGGTTGTGAACATCAAACTGCTTTAAGTATTTCCAAATTTACCATTTATCTTGAAGTCTTTAATTATTTATCTCCTTGCTAGAAAAATCTTTTGAACTTAAATATATTAAATATGAATACAAATAAATTTTTCTATTATGTTTTCAGCCATCTGTGTACCCTTCAACACCTTCAAGTGCTTCTAAACCAAATACAGCTGCCTTTTTAACTCCGTTAGAAATCAAAGCTAAAGTAGAAGCAGATGAGGGGAAAAAAAATTCCCTGGATGAACTTAGAGCTGAGATGATTGAATTACTGTGCATAGTAGAAGCACTGAAAAAGGAACATGGGTAAGTCATCTTTGTTTTCTTCTTTGAGTATACTATGTAACATGTGTAAAAAATTCTTCCAAATCATATGAAGTAAACATGTAATCTGCCAAGTTACTGGTATGAACAAATTTGTTTTCAGAGAAATTTTCATTAATAGTGCTTCTGTCCTGTTGGCAAAAAACTTGAATTAGAAACCTTGTCATAGTAGTCCAGTTATAGAAAAGTTACATATATTCCTATAATTAAAGGCTAGAAATCTGGCCAAACTCAGGTTGATTAGTCTTAAAATATTAGGAAAACCATATTGTATTTTGGATCTGGGAGTGTATCTGTATATCTAATTTATTTCTCAGAAGACTTTGCTGTTTCTGCTGAGGTTGAGTTGGATATTTATAAGACAAATGGGTTGGAATAGATGATCTCTAAGACCCTTCTCTTAACTCTAAAAGGTTTTAATAATGGTACATAGTGAGACATACCCTAAGTGAAAGAAAGTTAAGGATGTTTTAGAGCCAGAATATATTTAAAAGATCCCCTACTATATCCTCTGTATCCTCTTTTAACCATATCTTCTTTTGGTTCGGAGATCTTTAATCATTATTTGAGTTTTAAAATTTGTTAACATTTTAAACAATTTTGCAAAAGCTCAGTAGGTGAAACAAAGATCAGTTATTTTAACAGAACTGAGGGTGACGTTTTAGGTGCTCTTCCCTTTTTTCACCTTCTCCTGTAGCCTCTAAAAGCATTTCATGGAATATGAAATATATGAAAGTATAGAAATCACTACCAAAGACCATGTTAACTCTGAGCTTGTACCACTTTTTCCCTCAAACTCGGTAGACACTGGATTCTTTATTAAAAACAATATTGAGATTAATAACATGTATTTATAGTTTGCAGAACACTTTTATAAACATCTCTTATATAGAAACAAAAAATTTATCTTCAGCGACTGCTAATAAAACAATATATGATGCATATATATATCATATATAGAGAGTGTTTGTAATTTGATCCACGATAGTGCTTTCTTGTATCCTTATTAATCTGTTTCTGAGTCCAGCAAGTTTTTTTTTGTTTTTACAGATTCTGCAATATACACATTGTAAATTGTAAGTTCATACATCTAGTAAATATTTACTGAGCACTACCCATGTATCCAAGAACTCTGGTGATTTTAACATTTGACATTTTTGATACCAAGTGTGCTATTTTCAATAATTACATATACAAGTAGCCTGTAGGTGCTCTTAAATTAGCTGTAAAATGAATAAAATATTTATGATTTATATCCATTTAAAAACATAATTTAGAAGTCTTGACTTCTCTGGGAAAATGAATGGATAACAGGTTTTTTAATCTGAAGAAGAGCATCACAGGAGAATGGATATATATAGATATAGATATTGATATATTGATATAGGGAAATACTGTACAGTATACAGCAATAAAAATAAATTGTGGCTACATTTGTCAATATGAATTAACCTAAAAAACATTGGGGGTGGGAAATACGAGTCAGACATGCATATAGTATTATTTTATTTACATAAAATTAAAAAGCATACAAAACCAGACTGTATTGTTTAATGGTATATTTGTCTGTGTGGTAGAGTTAGAAAGAAGAAAAGGAACAATAAATACTATAAAACTTTTCCTGTGATGGGGTCGGGGAAAAGGACTGAGGAGGGAGGGTCGTTTTGGGTATCAGAGGTACTGGTGATATTTTATTTCCTACACTGACTTGGAGTTCTTAGTTTTTTGCTTTATTATTATATTTTATAGGTTACAAATATATAAATAGTCTTTATGAATTCAGTATTAAAATTGAAAATGCATAGAACAAATCATTAAACAATTGAAGGAGATGACATGGAAAGATTGACAAAGAAATAGATCAGTAATCTATTTCTTCAGGAGAAAAGTTACAGGACAAGATGTATAGTTTTTTATTAAAATTCCTGGGGCGACATTGGTTAATAAAATCAAATAGGTTTCAAATGTACAATTCAAAAATACATTATATGTATATTGCATCGTGTGTTCACCACTCATAGTTAAATTTCTTTTTATCACCAAATATTTGACCTCCTGTATCCCTACCTACCTTCACCCTCCCCTCTTCCTTTGGTAACCACTAATCCAATGTCCAAGTCCATGAGCTTCTGTTTGTCATGTTTGTTTGTTACTTTCAGTTCTTTATCCCACATATGAATGAAATCATATAGTTATCAACTTTTCCTTTGTGACTTATTTCGCTTAGCATGATAATCTCAAGACCCATCCATGTTGTCGCAAATGGCAGTATTTCATCTTTTCTTATGGCTGAGTAGTATTCCATTATATATATGCACCATTTTTTCTTTATCCAATCATCTATCAAAGGACACTTCGGTTGTTTCCATGTCTTAGCTACCATGAATAATGCTGCGATGAACACTGGGGTGGATATATCTTCGCAGATAAATGTTTTCAGGTTTTTGGGGTAAATACCCAGGAGAGGGATTGCTAGGTCATATGGTAATTCTATTCTTAGTTTTTTGAGGAACTTCCATACTGTTTCCCATAGTGACTGTACCAGTTTACGTTCCCACCAGCAGCATATGAAGGTTCCTTTTCCTCCATAGCCTCTCCAACACTTGTTATTTCTTATCCTGTTGTTAGCCATTCTAACAGGTATGAGGTGGTATCTCATTGTGGTTTTGATCTGCATTTCGCTAATAGCTAGTGAAGTGGAGCATCTTTTTATATATCTGTTGGCCATTTGTATGTCTTTTTTGGGAGAATTATCTGTTCAAGTCCTCTGCTCATTTTTTAATTGGATTTTTTTTTTTATTGTTGAGTTGTTTGATCCTATTCTTGTAAAAAAACCAGAATGTTGCATAAAAATTTTATATTTATAAATATGTTTTTGAAAAGCAATGAAAATGTAAGCGTGGTACTAAATTAGATCAAAAAGCAAATAATAAGAGTAATGTAACACTAAGCATAGATAAATAGAGCAGGGTAAATATTCTAGGAATAAATCCTAATTTAGTTATAAATATAATACAGTAAACTCAGAGTAACAGAATAATTGGAGAAAAGGAAATGGGAAGTTAATTAGCTTAGAAGTACATTTTATATCACATATCAAAATAAGCCCTAGATGAAAAATTTGAGTTAAAAATTATTTTTAAAATTATAATTAGTAGAAAACAGTAGAAAATTTGCTTCCAATAGAAATAGTTTTCTAATTATGAAAGCCTCAGAAGAAATTAGTTTTGAAACTATATAATTTAAAACTTCCTTCTTTCACATATTTTCCATGACAGTTTTCACGAGTTTCTCAAAGCTATTATTTCTACAGTATTCTTGAAGAGAATTTTCCTAGTATATGTCAAGAGGGTGAATATGTCCACACTTTTTGATTTAGAAATTCGATATGCTGATGTATTCATGATGTTAATGAAGTTCCTATTTCTCCCATTTCCTATTCTCCCGAAAGCTTGGCTATTTGAATACCAAATAACAGTTGTCAGAAATATGAAAATTTTAGCAGCCCAGAAATGTTTGAGAATACTTTGGGAAAAGATACAGTACAAAAAGAATATGTACTTATAGCTGTGGGGTTGGGGAATGACTATAAAGAGAAGGGAACACAGAAAAATGAAAACATGAGTTAAGGAAGAGGTATTGTTGAAGTTTTTTATTTTGTTTGGTTTGGGAATTTTAATACAACTTTTAAGTTTGAAAAATAGAGAAATGTAAAGTCCAGGTTATCTTATTACATAAAATATAATGTGCCTTATGGTATGTTTTCATATTCATTTTACCAAATTGTTTAGGCTCTTAAGATGTCTAGCCTGGGAAATGAATAATAACTGAATATGAGAAATTGCTTCTAAAGACCAGATATTATTTCTCTATCATTAACTGTTCTGTATTACCTTAAAAATTTTTTTTGAAAATCTCAGGTTTGTCATGGTTTTGCTGAGTTTTTAACTGTCATTTTGGAAAACTAGAGATGTTGAATTTTTTCTCAATCAGTATGGCTCTTTCCTTAAAGAAGTTTTCGCAGTGTTCTGGGATGTCAAGCAACAGAGAATCCTGTTAACATTAATCAAATGTGTTGTTTAATTGAAAGACTTAATGGCAATAAATACTTTGTTTTTAAGGAAAGAACTGGAAAAACTACGAAAAGATTTGGAAGAAGAGAAGGCAATGAGAAGTAATCTAGAGGTAATTTCTCCCAGCATCGAGATTGTAGTCAGCATAAACTAGATGTGTTTTTTCCAACCCAACTGGGTGATTGATTCCACTGCAAATTATGCTATCCTACTTTAGTTGGACACTCCCTGTTGCTTGGTAGCTGTTTAATTAATCTCTTGTTGACTCCCTGTCACATTCCATTCATTCATTCAGCAAATGTTTTTGGAGCACTAAATCTCATTGGCAGTACATGAGACACATTAATGAGACAAATGTGGTTCTTGCCTCTTAAGAGAATTTAGTTATAGATATTTTGCACTCAACACTGCTTCTTTCCTGAGCTTTATAGTTCTTTTTTATTCAGTTTAACTTTTTTCTTTTTCTTTTCTTTTCTTTTTTTTTTTCTTTTGCCTGGGGCAAAGCTTCTTGGTGGTGGGGGGGGGTGGTGGTAATGGGATGACTATAGATTGCTAACTTTGGTTTCTTATTGAGAGTTTACTTTGTAACTATAACATCATCGTGTTCACTCTGCCGATGACTAACCATTTCACTTCTTTTCTTTATCTTCCTTAATTTTTTTGCCATCTGTACTAACTTTGATCTTCATTAGTAGTCTTTTCTGCTTGTGTCCAAGAAAGTATGTCCTGCCTTTTTCAGAGACTCTTTCCATTCCGTATTTAAATATTTTATACTCCTCCCTATTTTTACCTTGTCTCATTACTTACCTATGTTTTTTGTTAGCACTGTGAAACAGAGAGAACATGAGACTTGCCGTTAAAAACTTAAGCTCCTCTTCTGACACTCTGACTTTCAGTTTTAAACCATGTGTCAGGTATACCTAACACTTTCTGTACGTTATCTCTTTGGACACATAATAGCTTGTAGGGATTATCGTTCTATTTAAAGGGTGAAGAAACTAGGGTTTTAGAATGATTAAGTCACCAGTGGAACTGAACTTTTTAATAGAAGCAGCCAGACTTCAGAACCTTTGCTCTTAGGGATTAAGTTATACTGTTTGAGTTTGAGAGAGTCTCTTAACCTCCCTTTGGTTTTAGTTGTTGAGGTAATAATGTATATGAATGTATTTGGTTAATGATCAAAACTCTGTTTTTACTTTTATATGACAGCCGTATCCCCTTTATTGGCTATTTCCCTTCTTTCCATGAAAATGCTTACTTTTTTTTCCTTATTCATAAAACAGAGAAAAGCCTCCTTTCAGGTCCATCTTGCATTCTTGTAGATCTACTGTAGTTTTCTCTTTTCATTTGGGTTCATTTGTTGCAAAACAAAAAGCCTACATTTACAGTCTCTAATTTTTCACCTTTAATTCAGTCCTTAACTCCTTGCATTTTTGGTTTACTCATGACAATTTCAGTATCTCTGCAATTTCTAGTGTTTCATGTTTTTATCATTGCTGCTCTTTCAAAGATTTGCCTTGTTTTTTTGTGATTTTTACTCTTCTGTCTTTAACTTCTCTATGTCTTCCTTTCTTACAACATAAATGAGGTTTTCCTTTAGTACTATCCTAGGCTCTCCTTTCTTTGCATTCACGCTTTGCTTATCTAGGCCCATGGATATTGTGTTTAGCTCTAGTTCATCTTTCATTTAAATCTAATTCTTCTTTTCCCATCTTCTAGCTATTAGTTTCTAGCTATTAGTTTCCCTGGATATTCCCCTATAAACAAACTTAAACTTAGCATGTTCATATTAAACTTGTCATCTTCCTTTCCTTATCCTCTGATTTTCTGTTTCTGTTGATGGTTTCGTTTCCCTTCTAGTCATGCAGACATGATACTTCTGTTCTCTTCTAATTCCATTCACTATCAGGTCTATTAGCTTTACATCCTAACTTTTATCTCTTTATTCCCATTGTTTCTTTCCTTATCTCATGCTGTTTATCTTCTGTTTAGCTTGCTGAGTTTCTTTCATTCTTATCTCAAATTAATCTTTCCTTGCTTAGTACTTTCAAGAACTTTGTATTACTTGCCGAATAAAGTTTAAACTTCTCAAGTTGGCATATGAAATCTTTTATGTCTTGATCCTAGTTTATCTTTCTTTCCTCACTTGTTCAATCCCCAACTGTCCCTTACAGTTAATCATCTGAAGTTTTACTCTTATTGTATTTTCCTGGATATTCCTTTGTCTCATCTTCTCATGCCCAAGTTCTACAGACTCTCTTAAGGCCCAGCTTGGTCACCTTAAGTTGGTACCAGTCTTCTAACTAAAAATAATTTGCCTTCTTCCAAGTTCATATCCTTTAGTTATGTAAGAATGAATAAGTACTAATTTTCTATCTTATCACTGTTACATTATGTACTTATTTTGCCCATCTTCTACACTGTAAGACTGTTGGAAGTGGGATCTGTGTCTGTTTCATCTTTGCGCATAGCTTCTAGGCCAGTGCTGTATATACATATTAAATAGCTAATAAATTTTTGTCAAATTCATAAACGTTAGAGGATACATGTCAAAACAGTCTTAAATTCCCAGTGTATAGCATAGTAGAAATTGAGAAATTAAAAAAAAATATTTCTGGACTTTCATTCTTTCTATTTTATGTATTCACATTTATATTCATATATGAAAATAAGGTAAGAAAGTAAAAAAGGAATTAATTTGTGTTAATTTGTCACAAAAATTATGAGAAAAGTCAAATGAATTATTTCTTTCTTGAATTTTATTTGATTCAATTTTTCCAGCAATATCAGCTGTTACTTAGCCTCTCACTGGCTTGTATTTATACATTTTTTTTACTTAATGGGGAAGGTTTTGACTCTTGTATTTGTAAAAGCACACTTATTTAGGCATTCAAGCTTTAAGATCATACATTCAAAGGAAACATTATATTTCCCCAAAGATTAAAACTAGTACTTTGAACTGCTATGAAGTTAACATTATATAGTATTAAACTGAGGAGTAATAAAAAGGGCTAAAGATGAACAATGAACATAAAAGAGCTAGATGAGAAACTATATAAGTATTTGCCTGATATCTAAATTTATGACAAATAGCGGTCTGTTGTATTACTGACTGCATATAGAATTATTTCCACCCCCTACTTCCTCTTCGACCAATGTCTTTTTCTTTCCTTACTCATTAAAGTTGGTACAGTTGATCAGTGTATCTTTGGAATAGAGACACTGATAGTACATTAGGTTGAAGATTGAGAGATTTTGTCTCAATTCAGTCTGAACATTATGACTTGTCCCAATCCAATGCTGTTGAAATGTTTTGCCAGTAATAATATTAGTTGAAGAAGAATATCAAGAAAGATCCTGGAGTTAACAAGTCATTCTTAAATGGTTAGAATCCCTTAGGAAAGTGTGAGCATATTGAATTCTACTTTTTAACTGTGGCAAAATGCTCATCATTTAATAATTAACTATTTGTTAGAGGTTAGTCATAGCATGTATTATTCGTATGTATTGTTGGGTGCATAGATGATGCTATCCTTAGAAGGTAAGGCCTAAATATTTCCACATGCAGTGAAAGGTTATAGATGATCAAAATATTATATAATTGTGAAGAGAATATAAAAACTGGGCTTTAGAGCCTTAGACCTTAGCAGTACAAGTTTTGTGTCACTTGCTACTGTGGAACTGTTGACATGAGTATTTAATTTTTTTGAATCTCAGTTTAGTTATTTGTAATATGTCAAAATTAAATAACTAGTTATTGTGAAAATTTAATGAATTTTCCATTTTTTAAAAAATTTCTTAAATTGCGAATTTCTGTTAAGTGAAGAATACAGTCTGCTTAAAGGTAGAAATATTTCCAACACAGTGACTGAATCTTAAATATATTTTTGGGCTTTAAAGATAACTTAATCTAGAACATACTATTTACAGGTCAAGAAATTGAGACCAAATGAAGTTAAATGATTTACCAATAACCTATAGGTTGTAAGTGAACAATATAGAACTAAACTGGTCCTTTAATTAATTTATTTTATTTTATTTTATTTATTTTATATATTTTACTGTTCTGTACTGTCCCCTTTGTTTAATTACAGGTATATGTAACTTTCTTAATTTGGTGTCAAGGGTTCTTTTGTTCTTTGTAGGGCTCCTTTTCTTACAGTTTTTTCAAATGCTCACATTACTTAACATTGTTCTGGCTGCAACAACTGTAGTTCTTTTTTTGTCGTCACCTGTCATTTAAGAATTTGCACTGTGGCATTTTCTTTTGTCGAACTTTTTCTGTATTACGACCTTGGAAATTTTATGTACACACCATTGGAAATTGGATTTTTTCATGGAAATCAACACCTGGAGGCTTAAAAGTGTGATCAGATCTTAATAGCATACTATAAAATAAAGAAACTTTACTAAAGTAAAGATATTTTACCTGTTGCTCAATTTACGTTTTGTATTTTAGGTAGAAATAGAGAAGCTGAAAAAAGCAGTCTTGTCTTCTTGAAGTGGCACGGACCCAGTGCTTTTAATCTTACAGGGATTCAGAAGCAACACTATGAATTTCAACTGACTTGTTACTTAAAAATAACAAATGCTGATGTTGTGATAAATATGAATATGTGAACTATAAAAGATCTTTAGAAAAGTAAGGGGAGGGTTAGTTTTATATATATTTTGTTTTGCCAATATGAAAAATAAGAGGCCTTATTTCTTATGTGCTGGGATTGCAAACTTTTTTTTAGTTTGCTTGGAAATACTACTGAATCTGTATAAAAAGGAAAGTTCACAATAGTTTTTTTATTGAAACTTGTACTATTATTTTTAAAGAGATCTATACTATAAATATGGTGATATCTTTACAAATAATCTGTAAAGTGTACTAAAGAGGGAGAAATTAGCTTTATAGTAACTATAGTCACTACTTTTCCCATACAAAATACATAAGGGATATAAACTTTGTGTGTGTATATGTATATATATATATTTTCCACTTTTACTCTTTACCCAGGATTACACTGTTGTGCCTGTTCGTTTGCAGTGCTGTTTATACTTTGGGTGATGAAATAAGAGTTTCCTGGCTATGTACCAGATTATTCACCCATGCGTATAGTAATAACTAATGAAATAATCAAAATAATTTCTTCAGCTTTTAGAATATTTTATATTGCTTGCACTATAGGATTCATGAAAGGAATTTAGTTTTAAGATGTATTGGATTGTTAAATATATTTGGGAAAATGAGCTGTATTTTAAATTCATTAGGTCTAAAGAACTAAAAATGTCAATTTAACCCTTAATGCATTGTGCCTAGAAACTACAGCACATATAATATGCAAACACCAGCTTCATTGCTGTACTTTTCTGCTTATTTTCAGGCTTAAACATTATTCATTTCATCATCTCGTGACTTAATTCTTTATGCCCCTCCCTCTAACTTTTAATAGTAGTAATATTAGGAAAACAAAACAAAACGTTCAGAAGTTCAGTGTGAAGTTTCATACTTTGACAAGTTATTGTGTAAATACTCAGGTTACAAGTGTAATTTACCTAATAGACCAAACTAAGTGGTGGAGTTACTTTGGGCTGTCATTTAGGAACCAACTTTATAAAGAGTGTTAGTATATCATAAAATGTAACATTGTCGTTTATTTAAAGCCAAATATAGTTGACCATATTCAAAATGCATTTTCATAAAATGGATGGATTAGCGGTCCCTTCGGAGTCACTTATGAAAAGTTGAAAATTTAAAAATGTTATATCTATAGTCTCAAAACATGGGGTTTTATATTAAAGGTAGGAATTTGACTTTTTTCATTTGCAAAAAAATACATTTTAAGATTTATTGTAGCAAGTGACTTTCAGATTTTGAGTAACATCTGTCATCCCAAAGTAACATTTTATGTTACTTTAAACCACCAAATCAATATTTTTCCTTTAAGTTTTGATCTTATAATACTGAAACCTTATGTGAATGACATTTTGTCAGGTTGTTTCAAATGAAAGAACTGAAATAGAAAATGATAGAAATTCCAGTTCATAATTACTTAATGTTAAATTCACAACTCACATTAGTGCTTTTGGAGAAACTTGATTGTCTTGAATATGTACATTTTAACTCTTTAAAGTCCTTAGGCTCTTCAAATGAGGTCACTACTGAACAAAATTGTTTAGTCCTATCTAATGTTTCTAAATGACTTGTCAAATGAATGATTTCCTTGTTAAATAAGTTAGCTCTTACTTTCTTTTAATGAAAGTCCTTAGGTAGAAATAAAAACAATATATCCTAGAAATCATTCTCAAACTTTCTGTTTGGAGAAATCTGTTAAGTGATCCCTCTTCACCCTAATGATGGGATGGGGGAAGTTTCCAGCAGATTTCAGACTGTTCTTAAAATTTTTTGTTGGTCATTTTCTCATTGGTATATATAATCAAAACGGTCATGAGTATGGAAATACATTTAAAGTATTTGCTTATATACTTCTTCAGTCAGAATAGAAAAGTAATTAAAATACTATTTCTATTTTTCTGCCTTTGACCAAATATAAAAGAAAACCAAACAAACTCAGACTCAAAGGGAAAACTGATTATTTTTTACCTAGCAATTTACCAGTATTTGTTCTTATATGGGAATTTTATTAATTCTTGTTCCTAAAGTTTATGTCACAAAATGTTATGTAATAATAATAGCCTTTACTTGTGGGTAAATCATTATTTTTTTCTGTGAGTGAGTATAAATGACAGATGTGGTAAATAGCACGGAATCTGTCATTGCCAAATTATTAATGAGTGTATTGTTGAGGTTTGCTATTCTTTGAAACATACAATATTACTAATTTTTCTTATTGTATTTCAATATTAGAAGCACTGTGTTGCGTGCATGTGTGACAACTAAGCTTCTTTACAAAATTTAAGTCTGAAACCTACATAATTTAAGTCTGAAGATAGAATGAGCCTGGTGTAACAGATGGTTCTCTTTTATTATATACTTCTTACTGTGATCATAGAAAAAAAACCCAAGTGCTCTCAAGATTTATTGGTAAACATTTTATGCTTGCATTTAAACTTGAAACATATGAACAAAATGAGACAATCAGTTAAAATCAGAAATGAGAAGTGTTAAAAAGTTAATGGCCTTGTTTTGCTGTAGCAATAAAATGACCAAGTGCAATGACTTGATTTAATAAAATCATCTTTTAAAAGTTGCTGCTATGAATATTTTAGCCATAAAATTTTACCCTTGTTTTCACTTGACTTGCCTTCAGTAATTATTATGTAATGCAGTTGGTGTTGTAGTATTCTAACATTCCAGAGTAGGAGGTATGGGGATTTTATATATATATGGGGAAACTCAAACTCAAAAGCCACTCACTTGTTTACAGGTGCTGTATAAAAGCATGCTTCTCTTTCAAAAAGAAAAATTAATAATAAAGAATAGTATTGCCAGTTGTGTCGGTCTTTACTGGTTATTCTTCATTAACTTTAGCATATGCTTCTTGCAGAATATAATGAAAATTATTTCCTATTACTTTGAATTTTCTAAATAAAAGAATATAAACAGTTAAAGGAAAGCATCTAAACCTTTGTGACATTTACTGAATCTTTGTGAGTCTGTTTCGTCACCTCAGGAGTAGCAGGAGAATTTGAAATGATTTATATAAAGAACCTTATAGAGTGCTTGGCATAGAGTAGATTTAACAAAGAAAAAAAGGAAGCTGCTATTTTACTCTTCTCAAAAACATTTTAGTGATGTATATGATTAAGAGAAAGGAGGCATAATACTTCCTCTCTCCCTGCTGTTGAATATAGCAGCTCTTTCGGGGAAATAGTCCTTTCATTTGTATTGTATTCAAAATGGGGCTGCAACCATCTTACAGATTCTGTCTCCCAGTGATTGGCCCAACGGAGAGTAGTTTGCTCAAATTAAGTTATTCATTTAGAGACTGAGATTTAAAAAATTTGAAACAAGGAGCTAGTCTTAGTACGGAAGCTCTCCACAGTTATAGTCTCCTGTCATGTAGAAGAAACTGATTTGAAAGAACAAAACTTAATGGAGCATAAAGAAAAGGGAAACAGAATCCACAAGGATTTTAAAACTGATTACACGTCATTCCTGAGCCCTAGCTATGCATTCATTGTTTGGTTCTTTAAGCATAAAGTTGCACATAACTTCTTGGGTTTCTGAACTTACAACTGGAAGTCCTGGTAAACCTGATAAACAAGGTAGTCAGAAGACATTAAAGGCCTATATATATATATACTCTTGTTGAAAATGTGCCATATACATGACTCCAGGCTTTCTAGAAACCCACTGGAAGATCTGAATCATAGAAAAGGAATAAGACACCACTGTGAAGTAATATGGAAAATAAGTATGACATGTCATTTAAGTTAAAGTTTGAAGTTTGAAAACTTCTACTTGCTGCTTCTTGGCCTTTATAAACAGGCATAAATTAGGCCTTGCAGGGACATGGCGGTAAAGTTTTGGATTATAGAATTTTAGTGTTTGCAGGGACATTGGAGATTGTCTAATCCAACCCCTGTGCAGGTGTTTTGTCTATAAGGACATGATTTTGCTGATTTAGTCCCATTCTAAGAAGTAAAAGCGGATAGCAATTTAATGCAAATGGATCTATTAGGTTTTATTACCAGTTAAGACTGGTGAGACTAGAATGGGTCTGGGTTTTAAAATTGTTTTCTGAATCCTAACCATTATTGCTTTTATTTTACCACTGTCACCTTTATTGTGAATATGCTTGTTCTATATAAGGAAAATAAATATAAATATCAGTATTTTTTACATAGAGCCAATAATTTTGCTATCACAGAAGGTGGTGTGGTTTTCATTTTGCAACTACTGGGTGGTATTCTTTCCTATCAGGTTACAAGTGTTATTACATTTCAGTTCCTAGAAAATTATGTGAATAAAGTTACTAAAAGAAAAACTATATTTTAAGTGTACCGAGTAACAAAATTTTAATAAAGGAGACCACTTGTTAACATTTCATAGTATATTTTTAGAAATATTCCTCAACGTTAATTGAACAGAATACAAATAGAATCTGATATGATGAAAAACAAATAGAATGAAAAATAGTATATTAAAGATTTAAGATAACAGCATCTGCAAATAAGTAAACACAACCAAAATTTATAATAATAAAAATACTTCCTAAATGTTTTTTGAAGTTTGGAACAAAATGACAGTCTCCTAGACCTTGTGCCAGATGTAGATCACTCTGAAGTGTCCATCTGATCATCTTAGTCCTACATCGTATGTAGCAGGATGGCAGGGGTTGTGGAAAGAGAAGCTACACTAATTGTCAGCCCTATTAATTTGAAGGCTGAGAATCTGGCAGGGAGATGTGCTCTTAGGAAAGTCAACAGATGCGATGAAAGGGTGTTTTAGATAACATTCTGAATTAAAGTTACAGTCATCTCCCTCCTGCGCCTCCCTGCACTAATCAGCAAATTGCTGACACCCTTCAAAGGTGAGTAACCAAATATCACACACAACTTTATAGGTGTGCATGTTATATTCAAACGTACAGTATAAAGAAAAAATGCTGAACCAAACTCGATTCTACAAATGAAAATCCCCATGTCCCAGGGGGAAGTTGTCAAGATACATAACACAAAGATACATTTTAAGTTATAGAACTTTTGGATAAAAAATGAATACTGATCCAAAAAGAAAATGAAAAATTTAATTGACTAATCATACCATAAATAGGAAATGTAATTAAAGCTGCACTACTAAAAAATGACTGTAAAGCCACAAGGGATCATAGCTATGTTTTAACTGCTTTAAACTACTCAGAGCTTTAGAAAAAGATAAATTCCTCAATTCATTTTATGAATCCAGCGTAACTTTAAACCTGATCACAGACCAACGTCACTTGTAATTTGATATCAGATCATCAGCCTTAATACATGATATGAAATGAGAAAAACGATCATGCTGACAGGGCAAGGCCAAGCATTTCCTTTACTGAGAATACGATGACACTTTGGTAGCACTGCTTTGATCGATGGGGACACACCAACAAATCTCACTAGTGCACTTACACCATCAATGCAGCTATCAACAGTGAAAATAGTAACTAACATCTTAGTATTATTATGGAAGTAGTTTTGAGTTGTGGACCACACTTTAAGAACTGCAGACCTAAATCAATATCCTGATATGGTCCCTAGGATAATGGAGACGGTAAGTGTTGAGTGGATGCCTCAAATCAATGAAAAAGGATATGGCCCTTCTTTACCCCTTGTCTTTCTTTACTCTCCTGCCTTTTCTTATTCAAGGATTCCAGTTGAAATAGCTTCTCTAAACCACTATCATGCCAATTATTATAAAATAGCCATGCTTCCAGGGACTCTGCATTAGGCTCTTAAAATACTTTTAACACATTTAGTAAACTAGGCTTTAAGTAGTGTATTTACCCTAACGTTTATAGTAAACATCATTAAAAATAGGTGTTATGTTAAATCTATCATCTATGTATCTATCATCTACTTAACTATCTTAACAATTTTATGTGATAGGTACTATTATTTTTCACATATGAGGAAACAGGCTCAAAGGTTAAACAACTTGGCCAACGCCACCAAACTAATAAGGGATGGAGCTAAACCCAGACAGATTGGTTCTGAAGTCTGTGCTCTTGATAATATGGTTTCCCTGCATAGACGATGTATAAGAAATAAGGAACATGATGGGGAAATTTTTCCAGTCTCAGTTCTTTTATTCTATGTAATCCTTTATATTAGTATCAAATTTTTCTATCAGGGAGTTAGACTAATTTACAAAGTCCATTTTCAGTGATCCCATAGTCTTAGATTTATCTGTGTGACATGATTGCACATAAATTAAGATTTTAAAGAACATTTTTTGTTTCTTAGTGTATTTGTAAACATGATTTTTGTGGCTTTTCAGCTAAGATGAAAAACAAAAACCCTACTTAGCTTCCATAAAGAAAATGACCACTAGATGGCAGTCAAATAAAGCTCAGCTGCTTTTGGGTATCTGGAAGGAATCACAAATACATGTGGAAGCTGCAAACAAAACCTTAGAAGGCTCCAACCCATTTAATTCACTCAGAACCGAGACACAACCATTGCATTCTCCTAGCCCAGCCACTTCTCTGCTAACTTGCATATGATTGATTGAAAGACTTGAGGCCTTGGAATCTGATCTGGCTTTGGAAACTGTCTTTAAAAATTAGCTGTGTGAAGTTGGCAATCTTGTCACCTTATCTATAAGAGAGCTAAAAAAAAATTGTTGGTACAATTTAAAGCCTTTCCTTTTAACTATATATACTCAGAGAGAGAGAGAGCAGGCCCTTAGTGCTTCATTCTTGTTTTTGCCCTGGAGAACAATCATGTCACAACAGCAGCAACAAAACCAACTTGCTTTTGGATGTTGGTGCCATGACAGCTTCTTTGACCCCAAGTTTGCTGCAGTGGGTACTCATGCCCTTCCTCACACTTATGATTTGCCATTGCCTGGCCTTGTTTCTTTGAGAGCTGCTCCTGTTTCTCCATTTTGTCCTGCAGTGTGTTCCTGTATTAACCAGGCCAAAGAACAAATTCCCTCCATGGTCACATATGACAAGTTCACAAATTAGTGAGGTTGTGTTATGGACTTCTTAAAGAGATTCTGGTGGGATAGCTCTTATTTTGTCACGTTTGTCTTCCCCACAAGGGCCTACTATGATTTACGTAGTGTTGGACTCTGACATTGCAGCCCAGAGCAGCTAGTCAGTGGAGAGTCCCCATGGTGCCATGACCATGCCTGAAAAAGTAAATCCATTTTCAGCTTTTCTCTCCAAAAAGAGGTTAAAATGTCCATCTCATGGTGATGACTACAGAGTCACAAAAGCAGAGAACAAGGCTACCCCAGAAAGGACCTGGTAATCTGAAATATTTTAGACATGGAACACATATGGTGTAGGATGACAGAGTAAAACGACATCACACGGCTCTTTCCACTAACCAATAAAATGACACCAAGCTATCTGCAGTGTCCTTTGGGGAGAAGCAAATCCTTCCACAGATCTCAGTTGATAAAGGCTCAGGTCTCAGTCACTTTGAGCATGTGACAAAACTAATGATTATGATTCTTAATAGCGATAAAGGTCGTGGAGTATGAAGAGAACACAGGACACAGAAAAGTATTCAGATGTAAAAGTGACCATTTTCTTACTCTCTTCAAGATTATGACCTGTCCCATGGGGGGAGAGAAGGAAATGGAGAATGAAATATGATAACATATATTTATTTTAGTCCATTGCATATGTCAATGTATGAGTAGTAAAAAACTGCTATATACTTTTGGTTTCATCTTCATCTAAAGTCCTTGTTCCCACTGATGGCAAGGAAAAAAGACACAATTTGTCATTCAAAGGCAATAATATCATCTGGTGTAAGTTATTGTACATATAAAGTGAT